GGGTGACCTCCAGGTGGGCACAGCCAACAGCCTCTGCACGTGCGCAGCAGCTGGGAGACGGGTGGGAAACGTCAGGTGTTGTGGCGAGCCCTGCAACGTGCATCACCCCACTTCTTCCCTCTGGGTCCAGATTCCGTCATTTGGAGGGCACCCTGAACCCCCCTTTGCCCCAGCCATGGGTCAGCAGTGAGTTCTTCAGGGAAGCTTTGGGGGAACCCCAAACGTCTCTGGTAAAATAGTGAAACGGGAAGAGCTTAGGGCAAAGGCCTGCAGAGTCAGAGAGGTACAGACAGGCTCGTGGCTGGCGGAGCGAGGGAGGGCACCAGTGCCTGCTGCAACTTGGGCCAGGCTTCACGGAGGAGGAGCCTTTTGAGATGAGCCCTGAAAGTCAGGTGGGATTTTGACAGGACAGCTGGCATTCTAGGCGTGGGAAATACATAAGCAAAGGTAGAGAGGCCAGAAGAACCAGAGTTGTTCGATGTCCAATCAACAGTCCAGCCGGGCAGGAGGCCCAGAAGCACGTGTGGAAACACCAGGAGATGAATCTGGACACGGAGGCTGGGGCCACCTGTGGAACACCAGGCTGAGGAGTTGGGATTTAGAGCTGTGGGCAGTAGGGAGCCACAGGAGGCTTTGGAACAAGGGTGTAACGATGAACGGTGCAACTGGATGTGTGTTTCTTACTGGCACTCAGCGTGCCTGTTCTCCATGGGCCCCTACCTGTGCCGCACACAGAATTCCAGAAGCTGCCCAGTTAAGGTCCCAACATCGGTCACATAAACTTGGGAAAACTTCGTGTATGTTCACAGGACTATGCCCATGAATGACAGGTGGCTGCTGACTGTTTTCATATCTCTTGAGCTCCAGGTTTGGGTCAGACCAAAGGCAGGGCCCACACTGGCCTTGGCATGGTGCTCCTGGACCCCCATAGCCCAAGCCCAAGCCTTTGATTGGCAGCTGGGCACCAAAAGGGCCAGGAGATTCCCCCAGGAGAAGGGCAGCCCCTGGAGAACCTGTGGGATTCCTTTCCTTGCCTGGAGCCGCTGTGGAAGCAGCCCAAGCTTTGAGGCCCAGTTGCTTACTGCTCGGCCACTCTCCAGCTGCTTGACCCAGGACATGCCCCTTAGCCTCTCCAAGCCTCCCATTTCCTCATCGAGAACTCGGAGATGACAATGGCTAACACCACAATGGGTACATGGACTCATGCGGGTAAAGTACATGGTACACCTTGATCCATGGAGGGAGCTGTTAGCGCCAGACCCGGTCCACATTTGGAGTGACAAAAGGGTCTCACAGCCAGTCTACTCACTGAGAACAAAGCCCTCACCCTCACTGTCTCTGGCCTCCTCTCCCATTTCTCCATCAAACTTGGAATACCCAAGGTGACAACTAGAAGGGAACCTCTGTTTCCAACAGTAACTGAAAGAATCCCAACGCATCTGGGCCACAGTGCCCCTTGGTGACATGACCTGAGACTGGTTTCATCACGTGAATGCAAAGCTCTTTGCCTGACCTCCATCCTTCTTAAGGACACCACGAACCTCCTGAAAATGTAATGACAGCTATGGGCCCCTTCCCCAGCGTATGTGTACAATCCTGTGGCCCCCAGAGTTTCCTGAAAACTTCCAGGAAAATAGAATTCTACTAACATTCAGTGAGCAGATATTCCCTGCCAGGTACCGTGCCAGGAGCTAGGAATACAGCAGTGAGCAAAACAGACACTGATCGAGGCCCTCTTGGGATCTAACCTATAGAGGAGGTCAGCTAGCATTAAGTACTAAAGAGAAAACAAAGCAGGGAAGGGGAGAGGAAGCGCCAGAGATGGGTGTGGGGCTTTGAATTGTTACATAGGTTGGCCAGGTGATGGTTGTGTCAAGATGAAAGGAAATGAGGGAGCTGGCCCAGTGGATATCTGGGAAAGTGCATTCCAACAGAGGGAACAGCCAGTGCAAAGGCCCTAAGGAGGGATGTGCCTGGTGTGTTGAGGAAGAGTCAGGAGGCCTGGAGCAGGGTGAGAGCGAGGGCAAGAAGGATGATGATGTCATCCAGGTGTGGGGATGGGGGCATGTCTGCTAGGCCACCAGAAGCACTTTAGTTTACAGAGGAGCTGCTGCAGGTGCTCAGAGAACAGAGACCTTACTGGGGTGGGGAGGGAGGATGAGGGAGGTAGGAAATGGCAACCTGTTAGGTGGCTACTGGAATAATCCAGGTAGGAGATGCTGATGGCTGAGCCCAGAGGGTAGCAGTGGACGTGTGTGGGGGGGGGGCGGGGGAGAAGGCTGGGAGTGTGGATGCATCTTGAGGATGGAGACAACAGAACTGTCTGCTTCTCTGGATGTGGGGTGTGAGCAAAAGAGAAAAAAAAATGAGAGAATTCAGCCTGGGCAATTTGCAGGACGGAGCGTCATGGACTCGGGTGGCAGGCCATGGGAGAAGCCGGTTTCAGAAATGTTCAGGAGCTCAGCTCAGGCTGCGTGTGGCTCAAGATGTCCGGCAGCCATCCAGGTGGTGGTGCGAAACGGGCCGTTCATCCTCTGGCACAGGTGCGGCTGTGATCTCACAGGCTCCCAGGACCCACGGGGGGAGTGGGCATCACCCGCTCCGCTGGGGAAGCAGACGGGAAGGGACATGAGGGTGGAGTGAAGGTTTCTGGGAACAGATCCCCATTTTCCACCGCAGTTTGAGGCGGGCGGGAATCAAATTTTAAAAGCACTGGGCCATGCTCGGTAATAGACACAGTTATTCCTGGTTCCGTTTTGTTTAATCCGATTCTCTTCAAGACATGAACTCGCCCTCGGCCCGCGGGAAGCCGGCCGACACGAACTCGCTCTAGGATGACCACCCCCCTCCCCGCAGTAGCCCAACAGGCCGGGGACGGGGACTCCATCGCGGCCTTGTCGGGAGTGAAGGTGAGGGCTGCGATCAGTTCAGTCACCGGAGAGCAATACCCTCTCCTGGCCGCTGGCCTTCTCCAGGGCAGCCCCGGCTGGGCCCGGCCAAGGTGGATTCCTACCCAGCAGCCCCGCTGAGCCGCGGACCCCCGCCGCGCCCGCTGGGCCGCGCTCGCCCCGCTACCGGGGCCGCGGAGCAGGAGTCCGACACCTGTGCCCCACGGTGGGGCCCGGACGCCGCTCCTCAGTCAGGAAACTTGGGCAAACGCTCAGAGGCAAGCGCCCGGCTCCGTCGCGCCTACGCAGCCCACGAAAGGACTTCGCTCGGTTCTGGGAGGGGGCCCCCGCGCTTCCCGCGGGCCGAGGGCGTGGGCGTGGAGGGAAGGAGGGGCCGCGTGGGCGGTTGGCCCACCCCTTTATTCCCGGCCCGCAGCTCGGCCGAGTGTGACCAGATGTGCTGGTGACAGGTCGCTCCTCAGAGGTGCAGGCGGGAGCCCAGAGCCCGCTCTGGGGCTGCTGCGCTCGGCGCTGCTGCTGTCGGACCGGACGCGGCGTCCGCGAACTGAGCTCGCTCCCTGCCGCCGCCCGGGAAGTGCAGGTTAGGAAACGCAGCCCGGTTGGGGACCCCGGAGGAGGGGCGCGAGCCAGCCCCCGGGGAGACGGGGAGAGGAGCCACCGGCCTCCGCGCCCGGGCAGAGGGAGGACGGCGCGCTCCGGCTCGCCGCCGGGCAGCTCACGAGGAACCCGTGTTCCTGCAGAAGCCGCAGGTGTCTGCCCCGGGATAACCCCGCGCTGCGAGAGGCCAGGCCGGCCCAGCTCCCGCGGGGGCTCCGCCGGCCCGAGGCCAGAGAGGCGGGAGACTGGCTGGCGCGCCCGGGCTCCTCGGCGGGCGGCACAGACAGGGTCCGCACCTGGGCGGGGGCGGGGGGCGGAGGAATGCAAGGAGGAGGAGGGGGCGGGGGCCCGCCGGGCGGAGGGGGGCCGCTAGGCCAGGAGCGGGGCGGGTGCAGTTCGGCAGTCGCCACCTGAGAGCCCTGGTCCCCACTGCCGTCACAGCGGGTCGCCTTGGCCGTCTGGGCGGGAGCCAGCGGGCAGACGCGGCGGCCGTGAGACCGGCGCTCCTCTGCCCGCAGCCGTCCGCGGAAGGTGAGCACCCTTCCGGGGCGAGGGGGAGGAGGCCGGGCCGCTGCTCGAGGTCGGTCTCTGCCGAGGACGGGAAAAGGGGGAGGGGGGGATGGAACTGGCTACTTGACGCTGACACCCCGGTCCGGATGACGATCGGGGGTCCTTCGGGGAGCTGCCATCTCTCTCATTCTTTCTCTCGCCAGGGCCTCTCGGGGATTCGGTCCCTCCCTGTCTCTCGTCTCCCTCGGTCTCGGTCCGTCTGGAGCGCTCTCCGGCCCTGTCGCCGGTGAGTGCTGGCTCTCCCGCTCTCCCTGCTCGTTCCGCGTCCGTCAGGGGCGCGCGCCGCTCACCAGCTCGCTCGGCCCAGAAGCGGGAAGTCTACCTGCCGTGAGCCGGCTTCCCGAGCGCGCGGGGCTCCGCCTGCCGCCCTCGGGCGAGCTCCATCCGCTCGTGCCCGGGGGCGCACGGCCACCCCGCTGTCGCCTCTCGCCAGCAGCGCACCGTCTAGGCGGGCCACCTGCCACCTAAGGCACCGACCGCCTCCCGCTGCGTGCGGAGCCCCCGAGGTGAGTGTGCGCGTGCCCCTTCCTTCCCTCCCGCTGCTGCCCGGCTGCCCTGGCTCGAGTTGAGTGGAGAAACGAGGCAACCGCGGCGAAGCCAGCCTGCGGCCGCTTTCCCTTCCAAAGAGTGGCCGGAGGGCCCGGTAGGCCCCTCGGGCGGCCGCCGCGCTTCTGCTAACCCCGGCCCCCTCCGGGCCTGGAAACTCGGCGTTTCGGGGCTCGGGGCCGGCGGGGTCGCGGGCGGGGCGGCGTGGCTTCCCCTTTAAGGCCAGAGCCGCTCGTCGCCGCGAGTGTGAGGGTGTGTGAGTGTGCGGCGTGCGTGTCTCCTCCTCCCCGAGTGACACAGCAGTGAGAAATGCCTATCAGTAACTTAAACCCCCGAAACTCCACCTTCCGGGCGCGCGGCGCGGAGCCGGGCGGTGGGAATGGAGCGAGCAGATTGAGGCCGCCGCTGCAGCGCCGCCGGCATGAACTTGGCTGCGAGCTGAAGCGGCCGGAGGCGGGCGGGCGCGGGGGCACCGGCCGCTAGCCAGAGGTGATCTGCAATCGGGCCGGGCCGCTCGGCGGGCGCCGGAGGCCAGACTGCCCGCGCCGGTGGCCGCCCGCCCCTCGGGCACTGCCCCCGCCGCCGCCGCGGGAGCTCCGCAGCACGGTAAGGCTGAGGGCGGGCGCGGGAGGTCCGACTGCTCTGGGGGCGCCGGGCTGCACTTGTGGCCCGCACTTGTGGTCCCCGTCGCGGAGAAGCGGGGGCCCGGGGATACTGAGAGCCGGGGGACCCCGAAGTTTGCTCCGAGCACACGGCCCACCTGGCGCTGCGCGTGGTCGCCCCCTTCTCGGACTGGCTGGGCCGAGCTCAGCGCAGCTCGCATCGCCCGGGACTGTGGCCTGTGCCTGCACCCCGGCGCCCGCCGGGCGTCTGGAATCGGGTAGGGGCAGTCGAGTACCGAGAAGGGAAGGCAGAGGGGCGCGGGCCACGAGGGCTCCCCCGGCCGCGCCGGGCTACCGGGAGGCTCCCGCTCCGACCCGGCGCACCCCGGGCCGCTCGCAGTCCGGATGCCACCGGCGACGCTGCCTTCGCATACCGGCTCCCAGAGCTCGGGCCAGTCGGCAGTGGGCGCTGGGCGCAGGATTTCCCCCAACCCCACCCGTACCCAGTTTGCCGCCACCGAGCGGGAGTGTGGAGTGTGCGCGCGCCGAGCCCGCCGCCTTTCGCTCCCTCCCCTGCCAAATTCTCTGGAGAGCAGCCCTGAGCAGAGCTGGCGGCTCGAGGCAGCCCCGACTGGGCTCCTGCCCGGAGCTCCCAGCGCCCCCGCGCCCCGAGCTCCCAGGCCTCGGAGCGGCAGCACAGCCCGGCGCCCGGCGCCCGGCGCCAGCGAGGGCGGGCGGGAAGCCCCCCGGAGCGCCGCCAAATACTTTTCACGGCCAGTTGGCTCGGCCAGGCTCCGTCCCGATGCAGCGTGTCCGAAGCCGCTTGGAAAGCTGGCCATACGGTCTGATTTTGATCCGTGATTAAATTCGGACTGAGCAGACACTAATAGGATTAGCTTGCAGAAAACTGCCCTGAAGTCGTCGGAACCTGAGCAAACAGACGCACTTCGGGCCGGGGGCTTCGCCCCGCCGCGCTTCTGCAGCTGGGTGCGGCCGAGCGGGACACCCCGAGTGTGGGTGGGAGTGTGTGCGCGGGCGGGAGCACAGGATGGCTGAGGGAGGTGGAGAGAAGCGACTCCACTTGCTGGGGTGGCTTGTCGTTTTTTGGCAGCAGGAGGAATTCTCCCCCCCCCCCCACCGGCCCCAGGGCGCCGTCCCCACGGCGAACGTGCCCTTTGCGGGTAGCCAACCAAGGCCAGCTCCGGGACATTGTGAGGGCGAGCGAGCTGGGCGTACGAGAGGCGGCCGCGCTGAAACAAAGACGCAAAGTCTCCCCGAGCCTGAGCAATTTCGAAAGAGTTGGTTGGGAAGAGGGCCCGAGTCTCCCGGGGGAGACCCCCGCGGGGATCGCGCCGCCCCCGCCGGCCCGGGCCCCGCGGCCGGGCGATCCCGTTCCCAGGCTGCGGCAAGCCGGAGGGCAGCATCGCAGCGGGGCAGCCCAGCCCTCCGCAGGCGTGGGCCGCCTCCCGGGTGCCCACGGGCCGGGTGGTGTCGGCCTCGCTCCCGCTGGGGCTTCCCGGCCGCCGCCGCCGCCGCTCGGGGCTCCCGGAGGCCGCGCAGCTTCTTCCCCCACTCCACCTCTTCTTGTCTTTATAGATTCCCCCCTCCCTCCCACCCCCGCCGCCGTTGCTGCCGCCGACAATCCGCTTTATAAAAAGCCCCTTTGTTTCCCTGGAGGCTGGAGAGAGGGAAGGGAAAAGGGACGCAGAGGCAGGGGGCGGGGGCGAGCCGCCCGGGACAGGAGGGCAAGTGTAGGCGGTGGGGAGGAGGCTGGGTCTCGAATCCCCTCCGCAGGAACCCCAGAAGGCGTGGGGAGCCCCCGGCTCCTGGCGCCTGCAGCGGGCCCGGCAGCCGGGCGGTGGACACCCGGGGCCCCCGCGGCCCGGACGGCTGGGCTGGCGGCTCGGCTAGCGGGCGGGCGCGGAGGCCAGAGGCGGCGCACGCTCGGCGGGTTGGGCAGACGCCGCTCGCCGCTGCGCTCGCCGGGCGCGGGCATAGGGGGCGCTCTTTCCTCGGTTTCGCTTTGCAGCCCGCGCCCCTCGCCGCCTAGACTCAGGGCGGCTGTCGCACCTGCCGGTGGCCAAGACGACGGCTGAGACGACGGCGGCGACTCTGAGGCTAACGCCACCCCGCGGCTGCGCTCCTCCCTCCTCCCGCGCCCTCCTGCCACCCCCAGCCCCCTACACAGGGGCTCAAACGCTCCGCGGGGCCTCTTTGTTTGCACGGAGGGAGGGCGTTGGAACTGCCACCTCCGAGGTTCGTGTAGCTCGGGCAGGCGGTAGGGACGAGGATGCACCTCCGGAACGTGCGTCAGCCTACCGCCTCTGACGGAGCCAAGGCCCTGCACTTGGGGGTGTCCGGGACCCACGGGTTCCCGGCACTAGCTGGAGTGAGGATTCAGCCGGCCCCTATCCCTTACACCTGCCCTGCCCCCCAAACTTGCGGGAACTCGGACTTGCGCGGAGGAATGTTAAACATAATGTTTGGAGTAACCTTTAGCCAGCCTGTCGGCCTGGCCGGCCCCGCCCCCGACCCCCGGACCGGTCCGCCTCTCTACTTGTAAAGTTTGTTCGGAAGGGGAATACTGACAATAAGAAAAATTGACAAATAAGGAGAAGTGGGCGGGGCCCAAACTCGACTGGTAGGTCTCCTGAGCGAAGTCAAATTCCTCCCGGTCTCTCGCCAGCTCCACCCCCTCTTCCCATTTAATCTCCCGGCGACACAGTGTGTGTGCCTTTTCACATATCTTTCCCCTGCTCCGCTCTCCTCCGATCTCTGGAGGGTATTCGTAAGTGCTGGTCGAACATTTGTTCTCTGGTCTTTGGAACAGAAGGAAGCGTTAACTCCCCCCCACCCTCGAAACACACACATCCCAACTGCATCTAAAACCACAAGAAAGTACTCAAAGGGTAAACTGTGGGCTCTACCTTCTCCTCCCCCTTTGTGCTTCCCTTCTGGAACACGATCATTGGAAAATAAAGCTGCTGATGTGCGAGATGGAACATATGGTTCCTCCATAAGAGAGAAGCTGAAATGGCCTTGAACCTGCCGGACAGACCAGCTGTTTGCTGCCAGCCAGAGCAGCTAATCAGCTTCTTCCCCTTAAAGTAACAGCCCTCTTTGCTCTTGATGACCAGTTTGCATATTAAATAGGATATTCTCCAGAGGAGAAACGTGATGGGCTCCTATATTGCCTTGTGCTTTGGTAGTTCTGCAAAGCTGGTCCCCTGCCCTGAGGGCTGCCTTGGCCTCACCCCACTCGTGCCTCCAGCGTTTGAGTGTGTTTCCTTCCACACTGATGTACTAACGTTGCCCAAAGTGGAACCTGGGAAGGAGGCGGGAAAGGGGAAAGAGAGCCCGGCTGAGAGATTCCCAGATGCCCAGGAGGAAGTCTCTGTTTTGTTGGTACTGGCTTTAGAAAAACTAGCAGTTCTCTCCCCAACCCTTAAAAATATCACAAAGAGCTGCAGCTCTTCCTTATAAGATCTGCTTAAAAATCATCCTCTTCCGGCTGTGACCATTTTCAGTTTTCCTTCAGTACAGTGTGTTTGAGAAGGGGGGGGGAAACAGTTTGGCATTGGAAGAAGAAAGGCTTGAGGAGATACGAGGAAATTCCATGTTAGGAAATCATTAGCAAAGGGTGACTTCGTCTGTTTTCCTGCCACTGACGCTGACAGTGACACAGATGTGTGGGTTGAAACAGGAACGTCATTGAATTTTTAAACTCAACCAGAAAATAGCCTGTTGCTTGGGTGGGAGCGGGGCCATACATTCACTGCATCTTAAGGTAGGAGATTTACTGTTGTTGATTCTTTTCACTAAGGAAAGGGATTTTGTCAAGCTTAGCCAGCACATTTAATATCATTTTTTCCCTTTTAAGTGGATCACCCAAAGGCTTAAAATGCACCTGTTAATAGATCAGCCCTAGGAAATCAACTGCTGTCTGTTTAGGCTTCTGAAATGGGCAGAAACTGACCTTAGGCAAGTGGTCCTTCTGACGGTAGAACCACTCTCCTCCTTTAAGGGGGCTTCCTATCTGCAGTAAACTTTTTTACGATTCTGATTTTTTCTTTCTGCAGCGCTGCATCGGAGAGATAATTAGCCTGGGAGCTGGGAAACTTGTGTTCTAGAACAGTCTCCCAACTAATTAGCACAGTGGTCTTGGGCAAGTCAGTCCTCCCTCCTTGTCCCTCTACCACCACGACCTCGGAGTCCGAGTCCCTTCCAGCTCTGACATACTGTGATTTGTGAATGAAATAGTCATTTTCTGGGAAACTGAAATGCTGTCGGGGATAGAAGCTAGATAGATAAAGAAATGGGACTGAGATTTTGAGGGGCAGCGAGAAGAGGGAGGAGGAAAAAAGGACAGAAGGTCAATCCAAACAACATGGAAGTCGAAACTGTTCCCTCTCTGTATCTTTCACCCATGTGAACATCTAACCCAGAAGCCTGGATGGTGGAGGCTGGGAAGCGACCCTGAGGGCTTCCTGTCCGGTACCCTTAATCCGGTGGTCTCAGGACCTACTGACGGCAGGCCTTCTCATCATTGGGTTGGTTTCCAGATAACGAGATCCAAACTCTCTGAAATTAGACTGGCATGTTTCCAAAGGACTCATCTAATATAGAACAGATTTGCTGCTTTGCAGTTATTCAGCAAAGGTTTCAAGGACAAAAAGGCCTTCCCTCTCCACACATGTGCCCCACTGGAGTATATGGGCTCTGAACTCACTGCTGAACCTTTTCTTCCTAGACCACCTGGGTATTTTTTAAAAATCACATTACCAACCTGGAGGACGCAGCAGCCATGCAAGGATCTGCCACTGTCCTGCTTCATGTTAATATTGATTTTTTTTTTAACGGATGGGGGGGGTAGACATTATGAAGGAGGACCTTTTATCCTCTGAGCTCTTTAGCAATTATCTTGCTGCCATAAATGTTGATACACATATAATGGATGTAACTAAAAAATCTCCTTATCCAAGCAGAAGAGGCTGAGTGTTTGTT